CCCCAAAACCCCAAAACCCCAAAACCCCAAAACCCCAAAACCCCAAATTCTAATTCTTAGTCAAAATATTATCCACAAAATGTGAACAACCTTTATAAATAGTATAAGATTTCTGGAAAATTGCCTTCTGAAACATTCGTCCAATTTCCTCTCTCATCCTTAGTTTCGATGACAAATAAGCCCATGTGCTCGTTCTGAATCTCCTTGTATTTCTCACCTTGACTTCCAAAGTAAATATAAATGTAATCACTCAAGTTGCTGAAGTCTTTGGCTGTCCAGCCTATAATTTCTATCTTCTGGCCTGCTTTGACAGGATACAATGAATCTAAATTTAGCCACATGTCTTACTAAGTCTGTGTCTTCAGTAGTACTTGTCTTCAAAGTCTGTGGCTATTTTCTCTTCCTTTTCCACTATGACTCCATCAATATTGATTTGGTACCTGAAAGGATACTCTGTAGTATCACTGGCTGCGAAGGATGTAAACCCACAGAACTTGATATCCTTTTGAGGTATGAATATAATAGCATCATGATAATTAAGGTTCATGTCCCATTCAGATTTATAGAATTCCTCAGAAAATCTTGAAAACTTGCATGGCTTACCAAGTCCTTCAGATGCTAAGAGAGTATCTCCTCTGTGGATTCCTTCGATGCTGGCAATGCAGGCTTTCATGTCAATTTCTTTCCCATCGAAAAACAACTTGTAAAAACTAATTGAAGCACCGATTCCTTCAAATGGAAATTTCAGTGCGATTTCAAGCTTTTCGTATATTTTCAGGTTGACTTCAAGAATAGTAGTGGCTCCAGAAGGAAAGTTGATGCTAACTAATAATTTCAGAGAACTCTCGTATTGATCAAACTCTTCTTGTGTGGATAATTCAATGGTTTCTACTCCGTCTCTCTCGACCAAGCATACCCAGGTAGGGTTCGAGTGTTCGTCTATCTTCAAGTCAAGCACTCTGAACCACTTGTCCTTTACGACATTGTAAACTAGTTTATCAACATTGAACACTGGAGAATTAGCTTCCTTAAGAGTTCTGAAGACGTCACTTTCTGATAAATTCAATATGGCTCCTTTGCTATCTCCTCTAAGTTCTTCCTGAGTCTTCTCTTTGAAAGATGAAATTTCACTAGTGAAAGGGAGATGCTTATCGTCGAAAGTATATTTCCATATGTGAGTTTCCTGTTTCAAGAGTTGCTTCGAAAAATTAGATGATTCCATCTTATCTATACTCTTGCCAGCTCTTTTTATTCAATATCGATTGCAATAGACGGGGTTTTGGGGTTTTGGGGTTTTGGGGTTTTGGGG